TTTATACTTTTTAAATCATTTTAAAATAATAGATACATAGATAACTTGATATAAATTTCCACATGTTTGGATGATAACTTGTTAGGAGGGAACTGAAGCATCTATGCCACCCTTCAACCACGTTGTTGGTTTTCGCTTCCCCGTTCAATGTTGATTGGTAACAATCCAGAGTTCAATATTAAACAAAGCAGGTAGTCTGCCTCTTCCAAACGTTTTACCAATATAAGCTTTTTCAAAAGTTTCAATTAGAGGCTGGTAACAATTGATTATTAGAATAAAATTCGGAGTTTATTAGTAATTCAAATGTTTCAACTACATTTAAGGGTGGCGCAAACGCCAAACAAACTATCATTCTAAGTTGTATATTAAATTCCACATCTGTTTTATATTTCTGCGATATTTCTGGATATTTTTGAATGTTTCGCCAAAGGGTTGGCCAAAATGGAAATAGCAACATTTGTGTTGCGAACTGGGAAACACTTCATTGAAAGCTTTTACACTGGCCATTTCAAAATCCGTCATAATTTTTTTTGGAGTTGATAAGTTGTCACCTATAATAGTAAATATTCTTTTATAAGTTTCATAATCCTTTCTATTGGTCAATATATATATGAGAGGTAAAACATTATTTCTAATCCCATGAATTGTATAAATTAACACGGTCGGGAACCTGACACACATGATAAATAAATAAGCAATTATAATAAGTGCTTCTTATTGGGCAGCTTATCGCAATAAAAATGAAGGATTTAGTTATATTTGTTCAAAAAATTTATAGAAAATCTTACCGGAACATCATCATGAAGTATGAAATCCTCATATTTATCTGTAATTGAATATTCATGCGGAATTTCCAGCTCAATAAGGCTGCTAGGATTCGGAGGTGCAAAACTGTTTGAACGCGTTCGGTTTTGTTTCATAAGTTTTGGTGATGGTAGTGCCATTGATATGGAATCACTTAATTGAGATACGTGTTTCGCCACAATAAAGTTTGGAGTTTCCATAGTATTATTCAAAGCTTCATTCTTAATTGAATTGATTATTTTCTTGGTTTACATTTCGATTGGATTTTCTGAATGATTGTGTATTTCTTTATTATCTTTTATCTTACCATTTTTTTTTGTAAGTCGTACGGGACATTTAAAAATATCTTGATTAATGCATCTATAATAATTAGTATCTGAGACTACTTTATCCAGGCGGAACAAATAATTTTTAAAGGTTAAGATTTCCTTATTTTTGCTTGATAACATATTTTATAAGGCTCCGAAATAAAGAGGAAAGAATGGCGAAAATATTTATAATTTATAACCAAAGGAATGGCACCAGCCAGACAAGAAAATTTTTTTTTAAAATTTCGGCGATACTTTTATTTAAAAATAGTTATAATTTATCAAATATGTCATTAATTATTTGTTAATTTTTAGTGTAACTATTTTTTTATTATATTTTAAAATTATTTAAGATTCAATAAGAACCTATATCAAAATATTATATTTAAATTAATTGAAATTAATGCCGAGATATTATACTAAAATTTTTATCACGCCCCCCCCCCCTCCAAATAAACAGAAAAGATAAAAAGATATCTATAAAAAAATAATAAGATTAATAAATATTTTAAATTGGGGAAATCCCTTATTTCACTTAGATGTAATTTATTTTTGAATTGCCATTCAAAATTGATATTCTAAACAGTAATGTTGTAGACTTTATTCATCTACACTGTTTAAGAATAGTGACTGCTAAAACCACGGTTGTGCATTTGACCGGTCAAATATAGTTAAAATCAAATAAATATTATTTTATATTGAATATCATCATTTTCTTATTTTTTAATCAATTTTCTTTTTGTCTAAATCTTCAATCGATTTCTGTTTTAGTAAGATTATTGACACAAATCGACCAATTTCTTTCTGAAGAAGAAGTAGATCTAGGAATTGTTAGTAATGTCAGATTTCTTAATGGCCATGGTGGTCAAAGCTAATTCCACTGCTTGAGATTGAAATCTGATTGTTTCTTATGGAAGTTACTGCTATCCCCATGATTTTCTATTAAACAAGCCGCTTTTATTTCTGAAATTTATGATATAACTTGAAATATTTTGATCACCACCTTGTATGCCTAATTCTTTTATTATATTACATACTTCATTAAATTCACTATGATTAAAATGCTCTCCTTAATATTAGGAACTCAATAAGCATTGTGATCACATTTCACATGTATTTATATCGTTTTTTCTTTTTCAAACATATTTTTATATTCAGATCTTATAGAATATTTGTTTGACCAGGTCAAATATTCTCCCGTTCAATTGACCGGTCAAAATCTAGTCATTTGACTGGTCAATTGACTGACTTGCTAACCCTGGCCAAAATTGATTGATAAATTTATAAATATTAAGTCATCAGACAATAAATAGGAATGCTACCCAGATATCAATTTCGCCAGTAAATATCAAGATTTAACTAATAAACTCAATGATTAATATATTGATAAAGCGGAGTTCCTTGTGTGCGATTATTATAAAATAAGAACTTCGAAGGAAAGGATAGGATAGCGAAAAAAGTGTATTTCAATAACAAATTTCATAAACCAGATCTTAGTTTATTAATCATTATGTAAATTTTTTAAGTTTAAAAGAAAATTACGAACTATGTGAATTAAAAAAATATTATTCAAATAATATAATTATAAAAAAATGATTCAAAATAAATTAGTCATTATTAGCAATTATCGCGATATTAAATTCTCTATAATATCTTCGCGATATATGTTTCGCGAAATAATTGTCGTTACATTGTCTTCGCGATTTGGGTTTCGCGATAATAACTTCGCTATAAAATTTTCGCGATTAAAGTTTCGCGGTAATGTATTCGCTTTAAAGGTTTCGCTATAAAATTTTCGCGATAATGTATTCGCTTCAAATGTTTCGCGATAAAGGTTTCGCTATAAAATTTTCGCGATTATTGATTCGCGATAAAAGTTTCACGGTAATGTATTCGCATTAAAGGTTTCGCTATAAAAAATTCGCGATATTTGTATCGCGGTAATATATTCGCTATAAAGGTTTTGCTATAAAAAATTCGCGATATTTGTTTCGCGATATTGCATTCGCGGAATAGTATTCGCTATTATGGATTCGCGATAAAAGTTTCGCGATAAACGACATTCTCGATAAAAGTTTTGCTGAATTGACATGGAACCATATATTTACCTTAAACTAATGTTAGTTAAACCATCTAACACTAAGATCGAGTTTTTATGGTTTAGATTTTGCTGGTTCTAGACCATATCATTCATCTCCAACAGTTACAAAATGTTTTTGTAAATATCATTTAATATATTCAATTATAAATATCAATTTATATATTCTAAATGTTATAATATCAATTAATATATGAGATAAATTTATATTTACAATTTTGTATCCATTTTAAATTTTCCCGCAAAAATAAAAAAGCACAATAAAAATCAAACCAGATTGCTTTTTTTTAACGCTTGCCGTAAAAAAAACAATTTGCACAATACCATTTAAAATTCATTATTAGATTTTAAAACGGAGCGTTGCAACGCTCAATTTGTGCGCACTATAAGAGAGGGGCCATTTGTTTTATAATACTCTTCTACTGATCCTATATTAATGTTTTGACGATGAGCTTGCTTGCTGCAAGTCGAGGTGGGCAAATATTAAACACGTATAGCTCTGCTTTTGACTCAACAATAAATTCTTCATCAACATTAGCTCTAATTTCCTTGAGTTCTAATAAATGCTCTCCGCTATTCTCATCTTCTTAATCAAGTCAACGTCATGTTTTTGAAAAGTATTACATAAAATAGTTGTATAATTAAATAATACATTCAATGAGAAAAAAAATTTAAAAAAAGTATTGAATCCAATAATTTTCTTGCTTCTTAGGAAATATTTCTTTCAAGCCATTGTGATATTTCAATAATAGCATTAATAATCAGCTCTTCTAACTCCATAAAAGCTGTTACTGCTTGATGGCGGAGACTCGATCTCGTTGGGCAAGCTTGCAATTTCTTTCTCCCGGTTGGACAAGCAGTTTCAGAGATATTATTATTTGACTAGAAATTTAGATAAATAATACGCCACTAAAATTTGAAAATAATAGGTAAATTACGCCAAGGAAAACTTGAAATCGAAATTGATAAAATAACATATTAGATAAATGTGATAAATAAATGTAATTAAATATATATATATGAGATAGGAATAAATATTAACAAATATAAATAAATATTAACAAAAATATTTTTGAAAAATATAATCCGGCATCTTTTTTTGGCTTTGGGGAGGGGATTTGTCTCTCTTCCCCCCCCCCGCTGCGTACGCGCCTGTGCAAGTGCTATAATGATATAATAAATTACTTTTATTTTCATGTAATTCTGCCAGTGTCAATTAACTCGATAATTTTCTCCTTATTATTGGGATTAGGGAACTACAAAATTAAAAATTTTCTATCTGTGGCCACCAGCTAGCCACTTTTAGCTACCATCATCAATTGCAGTACGAATTGGTGTAGAAATTTTTTTAAAATAATAATACAATTTTCATATTGAATAAATGTAAAACATACACGAATAGTATTATATTTATTCTTTATTGAGAAAAATAATTATAAATTCAATTTTGTAATTTTATAGTTACTTGTAAGGATTAATCTAAATTTATGAGACACAAGGGGATGATCATTGAATTCAACGTCAATCCAGCGATAACAAACGTGATGGAATAAAAAATATATAAAATTATTAGCTTTTCTATAAGTTTATTTAAGCATAATATTTTAATGGTTAAAAAATAAATTTGAAAATTTTTTATGTTGGCCTTGCAATGCTGAGATGAATATCATAGGCATATTTTAGAGGGCACACAATTTATGCAGCTCTTAATCAACTTTTTTATTTAGAATATTCAAAAAATCGAGATTTTTAAATTATTAGTATCCAATTTTTAAAAAAATATTATAAAGGTTCATGCAAAGAAGGAAACCGTAGTTCTAAGTCAAAATGGCAACACTTGATCAAAAATGTGTTTGTTCACGGCGGAATCCTGTTAACCACATATTCGAACCTGGTCTTACATCGAGAAATCCTGTGCCAACCTTGGTATTACATATTTCTAGACGAAGGTCACAAAATCAGGAATCCGGAATCGCAAGTCAGCAAGGCTACCAAAATGATTGCAGATCATGCCGATCTAGATTTCGGTAACCGGTTATAAAGTTTTTTTAAACAACGAACGCGTTCCAAAGGGAAATTATTTATAAAATTCGTTTTTTTGAAAAAAAATTATTGTGAATGGCGTTCCTAATATTTTTTAGGCAATTTTTGAAGGAAACCATATTTATTTTTTGACAAACGCGTTCGATTTTTTACAGTTAAAAATATTTTTTAGTAAGCTGTTCTCTTCAAATATTTTTCGGCACGATTTCCTTTCTGACTATTTTACTCTAATATGTTTATCAATTATTTCATACATAGAAATGTATGATTTGATTGTTCGGTGTCAGGTGGATATATCTTTGCCACTTAATTTTGATTTCAATTTTAACTCTTTTAAACAAATATTTAAGTTGAAAATAATTGTAATCATACATTTCTAATATCCACCACATTTTTTAGATAACATTTCAAAAAATATTAACACTCAATGTGTCGTTAACGCTATGAAGAATCAGCTGTGGCTTTAATAGCGTTAAATTATGCAACGCTATAACACCGCGCTTTTATTATAAATTAGGCCTAATGTTCAATTTCTCAAACGCTTTGGTATGGTTTTCACCTAAGGGCAGTGGCGTATCCAGGATTTTCTTATAGGGGGGGGGAAATTTCTATTTTTAACTATTATTTACTAATTCGTGCTTATGGATAGGATATTACAAGCCTCTTTTTTATTATTTCAAGTTAGGTATATTATATTTAATAAAGTTTTTTTAAATGTAAAGGTTTATTTATATGTAAAGTTGAAATAAAGTGTAATGTCATTTTTTTTATAAAATTTGCTTTAAAAACTAGCCTCAGCTTAAATTCTCATACAATATAAGTAGAATATAATTTTTTTTATTGAAAATACTAATAGTAGTTTAAAATATTGACTAGAAAATAATTAAATTAACAAGTTTTTTTAAACTTCTTATCAAATACAAGATTTTTAATTATTTCGTTTGTCTTTGGAACCAAATCTCTGTGTATATTTAACAGAACTAACCCATTTAGCCGAGATTCAGTAATTCGTAAATATGTTTTCAACCTTCTCAAGTTGGAAAAAGTCCTTTCATTCGTACATGTTGTAATAGGCAAACATGCAAGAATATAAAACAACTTCGAAATATTAGGAAATTGAGCCAAGGTTTCTTTACACCGATTGAGCGCATCAATAGCATGCTCAGGTAAAATAGCTAAACGTATAAATATTTATACCACAATTCGAATTCACTGATTTAATTTATTTCAGTATCAATCTCATAGGAATAAAATTTTTCTAAATATTTAATTTTACCAATAGTGGCATTAGAAAATGAAGAAGGATCTTTGGGTAATAAAACTTGAAGATTGCTAAAGACTTGTTTTTTATCTAAAACCCGTAATTTTATTTGCTATAAAAAAGTATCTAAGAATGGGATGAAAATGGATATTTTAGAATATTCTTCAGTTGAGCCAATATTTATTTTCATCTCAAAAATGGCCTAGGTGCTAGACGAGGTTTAATTAGTATTATATCATAAAATTTAGCCTTCGATTCAACGTCTAGATAAATATTATGAAAATATTTATCTACATTCATTCTTATTGTATCTACCTGTTCATGTATATTTTCCGCCAAATCAATAACTTGAACCAAATCTAAATTTGGTTTTTGTAAATTTCTACAAAGTAGTGAGCTAAAAATAATTTATTGATGCAACTAGCAGCAATGATAAACTCTGATTGATCAATTGAATTCAATAATGCTATCGCTGCTAACGACACATTACTTTTTTTCATGCTCAGCCTTATTTATAAATTATCGTTTGATTTCAATCTCTTTGACTAAATATTTTTACATTTTATTAATATTTTTGAATAATATGTTGGAAAATTGATATTCAAATATTTGTAAAATTTTGATTTGTGGGGGGGGGGGGGTCTGGGGGGTGGGGGTAAAATTTTTATTAGCTCAAAATGATATTTATGAAAATAGTCAAATTTGCGATGGGGGGGGGAAATTTCCCCCTTTCCCCCCATTGGTTACGCGCCTGCCTAAGGGCTAATTTATAGTGAAGGTGTTTTGTTCAAATAGTGCGTTATTTAACCCAACTTTATTTACAAAATCAAGCCAATAAATATGATTATATTTATAAATATTTAACGTTATGATGATAAGATGATAACGCTATGATAAAATGAAAAACATATGTTGCAATGCTATGATAAAAAAATTATATGCGATACGATAAAAATAATACCAAAGTAGATAAAAAGGTATATGATATTTAGAATATTATATAAAATATTTATCACTTTCAAAAAAATAACGATTCAACATTTTAACATAACACGTTTACTATAAATTCAGCGTAACGCCTCGGTTATAGTAAGTGCGATTTGCTCAAGAGACGCGATATCCCAGCTGATTCGTCACTCTATAATACTTTTTAAAATATACGTAAAATGCTGTCACAATTTTATCATTTCGCTCAGTATTTATACTAACTATTGTTGGCTTGCCTTTGTAACTTGCGCAGCGAAAAATTTCGCATCGCTTGAGCGAATCGTGCTTACTATAAACGCAGCATTAGATATCACTCATAATTTTTGGAGGAAATAACGCGTAACTATATATATTTTTTTAAAGAAGTATATCTAAGTCATTTTGGAGTCGATTCTAGTTAGGTTATTTGGCTTTTAATAAAACGACTAATTATTAGCTATTTAGAAAATTATCATGGATTAAAATATATCGTTTTATTTTTTAAATAGGGAAGGAAATTTTATTCGGTAAAAAAAATTAAAACATGAACATTTATATACACTATTGAATTAAAAATATATATTGAAAACAAAAAAATCAATATAAAAACATATAATTAAAAGAAGGGAAATTAAGAAAAAAAAAGAATGATATCTAATTAGGTGTGGTCCACGGGGCTTAATGACCCATTAATGGATATACAGTTTGAACGGCAGATTTCGATTGAAATCCTTTGGCGGAGGTAGAAACCTTCTTTCGGATCACCTGTGATTAATCCTAACCTTTGCCCTATTGTTTTGAATAATTTTGCAAACCATTTTTTTATTCGTTTAATCATTGCATCAGCTGAGATATTCTGCATTAGATCAACGTCTAGCCATTTGGAGTATGAATCGACACCAATTAGCCAATATCGCGAATCCACTTGTCCAGCAAAATTAATATAAAATTCCTTACCTACAGTCCAAGAAAACAGAGGTACTTCTTGAATTCCAGGTCTATTTTTCTGGCATCTAGAGCATATTTTGATAAAATTTTCTATATCAATATCACATCTGGGCCACCAACAATACAATCTAAAAATAGATTTTATTACATTTTCTCCAGGATGTCCTCGGTGAACCATTCCTAACACTGCATTTCTTAATTTATCAGGAATAACCAATCTCCCATTCCATTCTTTAATGTCACGATCGACAGAAAGCTCTTCCCTTCGATTATAGAAATTAACAATTTCTTTATCTTTATGACTCGCCAACTTTGATGAATGTGCAGCGCTATTTTTTTAATATAAAATCTTGCTTCGACTCTTTTTGTAGAATATTTTCTGACAATTGCATGTCATTCAAATTAATACTTCGAATCTCCAAGTTTAGAATCTTGATTCTCTTCCATATCTAATATCGGAAGCCTTGATAATGCGTCGGCGATTACATTTTTACTACCAGGTCTATATTCTATTGTAAAATCATAAGAAGCCACCTTCCAAGCCCACGTGTCAAACGATTATTAGAAATTTTAGGTAGATCGCGTTTCTCCCCAAATAATCGCTCTAATGGTTTGTGATCAGTTCGAAGTAAAAATTTTCTAACATAAATAAATGAATAAAATTTTTCAATACCAATAAAATTGCTCGAGCGATAATTCACAAGTCCTAGAAAAAATCTAAGTTGTTGTATATTCTTAGGTTTGGTGCATTTCGGATAGCCTTAATCTTTTCTGGATTACGATGTATACCGAATTTATTAATAATCACCCCTAAAAATGATACCGATTTTTGTAAAAATCTAACTTTCGTCAATTTCTTCTTAGGACCAGCCGTCTCACGATTCGCAAATTTTTTGTGCTCCTCATCATTTCAACCAGAAATATTACGTCATTTAAGTAGACACCATTTGGCAATCTTCCATATATCTCTGGAATATGGTAGGTGGACTTGCCAAACCAAAAGGCAATCGTCGGTAACGAAAATACTCTTTTGTGTCACTATCGTTAGGAATTCATGAGATTCTGATTCTACTTCCATCTGTAAATACGCATCTTTTAGATCAATCACAGTAGTAAATTTATCACCACCTTGGATTTTCTCTAACAAATCGTCTAAGGTAGGAATAACATGATGGTCATACAATAAACACGGATTAAGCGTAACTTTGAAATCAGCTCAAATTTGAATTCGCCATTACTCTTGCATATATTTATGGTTGGGCGTTGACCACTATACCCTAGTTATATTCGAATCAATCTTTTCTATAATTCCCGCAACCACTATCAGTTTAATTCCATTTCAATTGCTTGGTGCCCTACGGGCTGGAAACGATCTTGATACAGCGGTTGTCCCACCTTATCATCAAAAATTTCTTGATGTTTATTAAAGTAATCTAGAATTCTAGAATCTAATGTCATGCATTTTTCTTTGTCAATAGTGTTGATCGAATTGTGCACTTATTTAATCTAACTTGACGAGGCATTCCTAAATTGAATGCTATAATCCATAGTAATCCGAAAAAAGGCACCCCAGTTGTGTTAATTATTACCACGGGTAGGGTCCTTCGTGATCCAATCCTAACATTGACTTGGGGCTCGCTCTTAAGGTCTAACGGATGATCACCATATGCAGTCAATGGACTGGTTGGCTTAATTTTTTTTTATCGCCCCTTGTCCATATATCAATTCCGATCAATGACGTCTGTGCACCAGTGTCAAAATCAAATTCAACATCTAACCCATTTATCTCTTACTTCTCGATTATCTTGATTTTGTTGAATCTTCCATATATTATGAATAGAATCACTTGATGACACTCTTATATAATTTAAATTCTTTGTTTTACAAGAAACACAAAATGACCAATTCTTTTACATTTGTTACATGCTGCATTTGTAGCTTGACATCTCACTTCTCGGTTATGAATAAACCCACATTTATAAAATTTAAGTTTATTATAATCTTTATCAAGGGTATTATTATATTTATATTTATTATTTCCTTTATCAAATGTATTATTATACTTGGCTTTATTATAGCCTTTATCAATTCGTTTTAAATGAATGTTTATAATTATTATTATTATCATTTATCTTATTGACAACCGGCATATTTTTTTTTGCCATTTCTTTGCTGCTCGCTCAGAAGCGATTGTCAGATCAAGAATAAATTGGAAAGTCAATACATTATTATCTCTATCAAGACTGTCTGGATATAGAGTCCTAAGATCTCTTTCAAATCCCGGCATTTCCATGTCAACCATAAACTGATCACGCAAACGCTCGTCAATAGCATTATATTGACAACGCTTGCCAATTGTTCTATTTTATCTGCAAATTCAGTTATGATTTTACTTGTTTTCCGTAGTCTAATGAAATCAATCTAGAAGCAAAAGTTGTTGACGTCGGTTTAAATAATTTAAAACATATTTTTAATTTCCTTAAAAGATAAAGTTTCAATCGAGTCAGGATAACAAGAACGATCTACCAACTCAATTATTGCCAAAAAATGTTAAAATATATCTTTATATTGACATTCACAGTTGGGTTTACGTTTTTTAACCAAAAACTGGCTTCCCATTGAAAAAAATATCTATAAATCGAACTTCTTTCGCCATCGAATTTCTTTCGCCATCGAATTTATCAAATTTAACCGTAGATAAGTCCACCAATTTTCTTTTATCCGCCAATTTTCTGAATCTTCATTTAAAGAATCGCCACGTGTCGCCATTTTAATAAAACGACTAATTATTAGCTATTTAACCATGGATTAAAATATATCGTTTTATTATATTTAAAATTATCACACCATATTTATTAATTCATTAGAATGTTCTCTATATATATATATATATTTAATACATTTAAATAATAAATACAATTTATTACAATTTGGCATCTAACATTAGCTGCAATCAAATTTGCAAAAAAATAAAATTATAAATGCTGAGGAATAAAATACCAAAGCTAAAAAGATAGAAAATTTGTTTGGTGTTTAAAGAGATTCTTTTCTTTTTTTAATTCTAAAAGTAATGAGTGTTATATTTGATGATTTAAGGTACTCTTATTATAGTTCAATTTGTGCGCACAGGAGTTTTCCAAAAAATTATTAATCAGCTGTTTTATAAAATGTTAGAATTTTTTTTTGTCAAAATTTTGAAAAGTTCCATCATTCAAAATATGTAAATTATTCAATTATTTATTCGTATATAATCAATATTATTGAAGGAAATAACTTACATTTTTGCAACTACATTACAATATTAATAATATTAATGAAACTAACTTATTATTGAATGTTATGTAAGAAAATATAAAATTATATGATTGAATTTGAAAATTTTAACAACTTTTGAAAAGAATAACTTAACATTGCATTGTTATGCAACAATGTAGGTAATTATAATTATTATTTAATGAAACAAAACTTTATATAGAATTTTATGTATGAAAAATTATATCATTAATCTTTGCCAGCAAAATATGGAACCGATTCAATTATTTTAGATGACATTTTTATTCAATCATTATTAAAAGAATAATAAATCTAACTCAATATAGCATTTTATATAAAAAATATTTAATTATATCATTTTTAATTTGTATTAAATTATTTATTCTTGTAAATTGCTAATATATTCATTGTTTTCCTTCTGTACTAAATGCATTATTATTTCAAAATATTAATTTATTTTATTTTCAAATTTTGCTAAATATTGATATTTTTAATTGTGTCTTGTGCTATTAAATATTATCCAAGACAATTATAATTTATTTTAATTTAACAAAAATCAGGTATGGACTAAGTTAGCAAATATTAGGACTGGACTAAGGGCAAGATTTTATTAGTGTCAAGAGGATGATTTTTTAGATTTTATGATGTGTGGTTCATGATTAGGCTTGATGTCAACTAGGGTTAATCAGCCCTATATTAGATGATTAGATATTCTATTTAACATCACTTTTTACCTAACTGCAGTTCAGGTTAAGGAATATTATAAAGCTTGTGGACCACATTGGTAGTTAGTTTATAGCTATACTACAAGGATAAGGGTTAGTATTTATATTAGATGAGGAGAAATACTCATTTTAACCAAACCCACCACATTTGGTAAGATTTAAAAGATATATAAGGCTAAAAGAAAGAAATCGCGAGGTAGCCAATAAGTTTTTTTTAATTTTTACCAAATTAGGCGGTCTGATACTAACCTCGTGAACCTGCTAGTGGTTAGCTTATGGTTAGTGTTGTTAAACGGCTCGAGTTTTAAAAATGGTCAACCCAATATTTTAGCCAAAAATATTATGCAAACCTGGAAATTTTGCTCATAGATGGCAGAAAGGTTTGGACATCTATTAACGAACATATTTAGTTTAATCATATTTATGGGCTTGATTTTATAAATAACATTGCGTTAAATAATTCACCGTTTGAACATAATGCATTTACTATAAATTAGCCGTAGGCTAAGATCATACCAAAGCTTTTGAGTAATTGAGCATTAGACCCAATTTATAATAAACGCGCTGTGTACAAGCTTTGCGTTATTTAAAGCTATCGAAATCACAGCTGATTCTTCATAACGTTTACAATGACACATTAAGCGTTAATATTTTTGGAAATAACCCAAACAATGGAACGTTATCATTATAACGCTCGACATTTATAAACTACACCTATTTATTGGCTTGATTTTGTAAATAACTCATCGCTTGAACAATATTGCTATTACTATAAATTACGCCTTGGTCTAACTATTTTTTTCTATGCTCTAATTAGATTACATTTATACAATTTTAAAATACGAAAATGATTCGAAGTTAATACAACTAGTTAGCAGACGATAAAAATTTTTTAATTTGCATACGATCGAAATATTCAAATTTTTTGAAAAATTTTGCTATATTTTAAAATTGTGTGGACAAGAACTCTTTGGTATAGACTTAGCCTTAGCTTCTTTCTAGCGCATTATTTTTTTCTTCAAAATAATGTTTACACTACACAACTTCCCCGTTTTTATCGATTCAATACTAAAAAAAAAATTTTCATTTGATTTAATTCAGGAGCTCGGCTTTACGAGAGTCATCGCTTTATTTTGACCGGCACCCCCATGCAAAACGACTTGAAAGAATTATGGACGCTTTTCGATTTCGTGTACCCCGGAAAGCTCGGAACCCTCAAAGCTTTTTCCGATAACATAGCGAACCCCATTTTATCCGGGGGTTATGCTAGCGCCTCTCAGGTTTGCACACAATGCACCACCTCGTGATTATTATTAGTGAAGGTCAACAGCCCGGTCCTATTGGTCTTAGACCGGGGACCGCAGTCCTGACCTATCTTTTATTAATATTTTAGCTTGCTTTATTATTCAATTAGTCTTATTTTTTTGCATATTTTATTTTGTTATTTTTCTAGAGTAGTTTTTTTTAATTTTGTGAATTTTTAGTTCATTTTTATTTTTCAATATGAAAACCATAAGTTTTTCAAAGAAGCATTTTACTTATAGTCCCAATAAACAAGAATTAAATTAGGTAAAAACAAAAATATTTTTAAAATACCAAAAAAGTAGAAAGACCGGTCCTTGATCGGTCTTTTTATTTAGGACCACTCTCTTGATCGATCTTTTTATAAAAGACCATAATCCTGTACTATACGAGTGTATCGGTCCGGACCGTAACATTCACTAATTGTAATTATTATAGAGCTCTTATTTGTTTTTATAGAGTTAACATGGCGTTGTTTTATTGCACTCTTTTCATAAAATTTATCAACCCAAGTTTTAGAAACCCTATGATAATCGGACTACTATTATTTACTCAATATTATAACATTTTTCAAAAAATTTGCGAAAAATAAATTGAATCATTATTGCAGGAAAGATTTGTAAATGTTCAAGTCCTTTCCACAACTTAAGATATTCTATAGGAGTTTTTAACATCTTGCTTTTTTTGAACCCTTCATAAATTATTATTTTTTTAAAAAATTTAAGTAAACCCGATTTGAATATTTCTAAATATTTTTTGAAAGGGGAGGGGAGAAGGTTATAATTTAATTTGTAAAAAATATATAAACAAATTCTACATTCTCCAATATATATATATATTTTTTTGAAATTTATCTAGATTAGAACATTTTTGATAATTTAAATATTGTTCATGATATTTGGTTGGTTGGACGATACAAATAACATTTCTCAAAAGGGAAGTTTTTATATATAAATAAATATGCAAATTTAGATACAAATGGCAACGGCTTATAAATGTGCATGCGTATTGAAGGACTCGATAAGTCCTTATCTCCTTCGAAGGACCAAGAACAACGTCGATTTCATACGCGAGATCAATATTCCTAATAAAAATGAACAGGTCTTTTATTTTAAATGGACTATTTTGCAATATATTTATTGTCATGTTAGCAAGAATGGAAATAATGATTTGACTATATTAAAATATTTTTCTACAAAATATAAATTTTCGACTATGTAATTAGATAAAAAAAATTTGCTAAATGATATGATCGTTATGCATCAAAAAGAGAGAAAGGGGAATCATAATTTTGGTTTAATAAGAAAGGAAATTTTTCATTCATCTTAGGGTTTTTAGGTTAACAAAGTACCCATTCGAATAGTTTTAATTTTAAATCTTTTAAAAATTCCTAATCTCAATAGAGAGAGATGACTATTTTTAACTTCTTTTTATTTTATTTAATATGTTATTATTTTTTTTAATAAAATATTTTTAATATGGTTTTTAAATTTTATTTTTATATATGTTATTTTATACTTTACATATTATTTTTAATTACTTTTTATAATATCAAAATAAAATAGTTTTAATTCAAAAAATAAAATTAATATACAGAGTTGTTAACGCTCCTTTTTAAAAGTAGCTAGCTCCCGCCCCTACCTTCTCAAGAGGAGCTAGCTCCCGCTCCCGCTACTACATTTTTAAAAGGAGCTAGCTCCCGCTCCAAGTAATGGAGTGCCACTACATAACCGCTCCTTTGATTTTCATTTTTTTAGAAGGTATACGAAACAAAATCATATTTTTTTATCAAAAAGCTTTTTTTATATCATAGACCTTCAGAGGTACCATTTGTACGACCCGGCCCAGATTAAAAAATTTTCGGCCCGGTCCGGCCCGGATTTTTTTCAAAAATTTTTTACGGCCCGGCCCGGGTTTAAAAATTTTAGGCCCGGCCCGAATATTTAAAAAAAAAATTTTTAGGCCCGGCTCGTAATTTTTTAAAATTATATTCGACCTGGTATATACAAAAAATTCATTATTTCGTATTTTATCATATTTTTCGGCGATTATTATCATTTAATAAGCAAGTATTATCATTTAATAAGCAAGTATATTCGCTAATGTTATTAAACGGCTCGTTTTGAGCCGATTTACTATATGTCTACACCTTTGCTCCTTCTATGAGCAAAATTTTCAGGGTTGCATAATATTTTTCTGGATAAAACACTGAGTTAGCCGTTTTTAAAAATCGGCTCAAAACGAGCCGTTTAACAACACTATTATTTTTTTTTATTCTAAACAGATATTTAGTATATTACAAATTGATACTATAAAAAATTTGTGTAAATAATATTTTGAGAATATACTATATATTTATAAAAAAAATAAAAATGATATTTTAATTAATAAAAAATATACATATATTATATAATAATGTATTTAATCCTTTGCGTATTTATTCCATGGCAGGAAAATTATAATTTTATTATTTAATAGATACTATGAGTGTTAGCTAGTGTTAACTTTCACCAAACATTATATGGTTATAACTTTATATAATCATTATGACCATATCTAATTGACGAATATAATATTCATGTTATATAAATTTTTAAAAAAAATACGGCCCGGCCCTGGTATATTTTAAAAATTTTAAATACGGCCCGGCCCTGGTACCCAGGCCGGGCTTAGGGCCGGGACTGCAGGTCTCTGATTTATATTAAATGATCTATCATAATATTTATAGCCTTTAATTAGCATTTAAAAGTAAAAAAGTAATAAATTTTCTAAATTAGAATCTAACAAACATCCACACCTCTCTCCTAAGACCTCTTTTGCAATACTAAACAGGCGTTCCTCAGGAGCACTAGAGGGAAGCGAGGTATTGTATTTTATAAAGATATTTTTTAATTAAGGAAATTTCTCAAAAATAGTAATTTTGGTATCATTATTTAAAAAATATTTGCCCAATATATTATCCTCCTCATGATCAATTTCATGGAATTCAAAAAAATTTTCTAAATCTTTTTGTATTTAAAAGAAAGATTTTTTACTTTTAGATGCTTTTTTACTGCTCACTTTTGTAAATTAAATAGTTTTATTTAAACACAAAAGGCATTTTGCCCTTAGTTTGATCATTTGGATTAACATCTTTTAGAAGTTTAATATATTTTTTGTATGATGGAAATGGAAATTCGATTTCTTCATCTATGATCTCTAAATCCATAATATCGAAAACTATTTTTTGTTATATATATATCTATAAAATGAATATTAATATGACTTACAAGATTTTCCAAAAAAATTTCAATATAAAAAGAAAAACTTGATGTTTAATATTTAAAATGATTAGATGAAAAACCAATATAAAACTCGGCTAAACATTTAATAATGGATAAATTTAAATTAAATTAAATTTCATTTTTATTGAATTTTAATTAACAAATATTAAAAATAATTTAATTTAATTTATACATTAAATTTAAAGGAGCGGTGAAGCGGCGCTCCTCCACTCCAGCCCTAAAAGGAGCTAGCTGTTTTTGAAAAAATGTAGCGGCCAGGAGCGCCGCTCCTTAACAACTTTGATATACAATAATCGAATGTTCATCATAGTTTTATGTTTATTGAGAATTGAAGAGACTAGAGCCCTGAACTTTCATGTTTACTTTTAGAAAGATTTTTTAGGCCCGATCTCAGTTCTAATTTATTTTTTAGATCTCCCTCCATCCCCATAATTTTTTTACTTTATAAATATAAATTAAACCCATTTTTATAAAAGAAAAATCACAACTTTCGGATTAATAATTATCGTTTTGTATTAATAAATTTAGAGATAATCTTAATTCCTATTTTATAATATACTTTCAAACTCGGCCCCGTTTTATATTAGTTTTTAAGATCCGATCCGAGCTCCCGAGACCGGTTTTCAGGCATATTTAAGATTTTGCGATGTAAGTTTAAATAAACTCGTCCATTTCTGATAATATAAATAAAAAAACGAAGATATAAAACTAATTAAATATTTTTTTAAAATCGCTAATCAAATCAGGTACTGTTTTGCCAAATCACCAATTATCAAAAGAGTGTATACCAGGAATACCTATCGACGTTTGATATGGACGACATAATCAAAGGTCGGCTTAAGATTTTCAAGGCCCTCATAACGCTGAGGAAACTTTGCAACCACCCGGATTTGGTTACCCGCGAATACGTCGAGAAACACGATGACCCCCACGAGCAAATATTATCTGGCAGAAAAAACAGGACGAGCCAATACGGATATTGGAAACGTTCAGGTAATGACAATTTAAGATTTTAAAAACCTATCATATGGCAGATCAAGTATATTATTTTTAGATAACATGTCAGTTTCGGGAAACCGAATAATTAAAGGGGGGACAGTGTTTAAAACTTGGACAAATATAGGAACCAGATTCCACAACCTCTTTCTTGAAATTTATAGAGACATGAGCCAATTTATTTTAAAAATATTCAGAATTAGGACCCTTTATCTAAACTGAGGGAAAAGGGCATGCATCGGAAGATACATTCTTGGGTGACTGATTCAAATTATTATATTTTTAGGGAAAATGATTGTTTTGAAGGAGTTATTGAAGATGTGGCACAAGCAAGGCCACAAGGTGCTAATATTCTGCCAAACACGTCAAGTCCTTGACATCGTCGAAAAATTTGTTTTAACCAAAAAGTTTGCCAACACAATTCTATTAATCCCTCATTCCCCAAAAGCGAGAAACGATATTTAAAAATTATAACTCTGTATAATAAATAAATAACGATATTGTATCTTCAATGCATTTACATTTATTATTTTTTTAATATCGAAAGTTACACTTATCTCAGACTTGATGGATCTTATTCTATTAAATCCCGGCACGAGATTGTGAATCAATTCAACGCTTCTCGGGATATTGACCCTATCTCGAATACAAGTAAAACGATGATATTCTCTATTAACTTTTTAATCGCTAAAATATAGATTTTTTTTAAAAAAAATTGAATATTTTTGATATAATATTAGTGGTTAAACCCAAATTAAACCCACGATATAAAGTTTTTCGAGAGTACATAAATTTTAAACCTTAAAAGCGGAACGAATCTGCAAATCTTGATTTTATAAGTGACCTATTTCATTATTATTAACATATTATATTTTTAATTGATTTAATATATTTTGTACTTCAGTTTATATATTTACAAATTAATCTACATACATCAATTAATTATCATACACAATTAACAATATATTTGAATACCATTAATCATATTATTAAATGTCTTTGAGGTTAATTGATTCTATTAAATCTATTCTCTCCTTTTTTGGATCTCGATTTTAAACGATATAAATTGTTTTCTTATCCTTTTTGGATAACGGCTATGTTCTTTCGTTCTTTATCACGGTTTGATCTGAACGGTCTAATTCATTCTTACCATTTATGCTAATATCTTAGGTTATTGAGTCTTCGGATCAATGTCTTTGGTCATAGAGTCGGGTATAGGATCAATGTCTTTTGTCATCAAGTCGTGTTTAGGATCAATGTCTTCGGTAAATAGGTTCACTTTCATTCATTCGTGGTGTAGTTTGCATCGTTTCTCCTTCTCTTCCTTCCTCTCTATTTTTTAAATCGGAATCGTCGAATCTATATTTTAACTGATTAATATGTCTTCTCCATAAATCTAATTTAGTCTCAGATAAAAACGTCACTGGTCCTGTTCTTTTAACGATGATACCTGGCATCCAAATATCTTTTTTAAAATCTTTTGCATATATTTTCTCATTTATATTAAAAATAACATGGAATTGTGGTATGTATGGATGAGGATAAATTGGTTTTATTAATTGTAAGGGTCCTGTGGGTTGAAATTTAAGCATAATTGAACTTGGTGATTTTTTTGTGGTTATTTGTGGCGTATTTTTATAATTAAACACAAAATTTTGTATTTTATAGGAATCATTATGTTTTTTTAAATTTTTTTTTAAAGTTTGTACTAATCGCTCCGCTTCTCCGTTGGTTCTAGGGTGGTACGGGGCACTATATACATTTCTAATTGATAAGTGTTTGCAAAATAAACTGAATTCTCTACTTTGGAATGGGGGGCCATTATCCGTAACAATCGTATTGGGGTAACCGAAAATAGAAAAAAGTCATATTTTTCTTACTTCAGTAAAATTATTTATTGACAGTTTTTATACTTCAGGCCATTTATTAAAACCATCTATTATTACTAGATATATATCTTCGTTAATTGGTCCGGCAAAATCTAAATGAATTCTTCCCCATAGTTTATTTGCAGTGGGCCATTTCTCTATGATCGTTTTACCGCCAGGGTTATTTGTTTGACATAATTCATAATTCTTACCATGTAATTCGATGTCTTCGTTAATATTCGACCACCAAACGTGCTCTTGGGACAATAATTTTGTTTTAGTATAACCCTGATGCCCCATATGTAAAAAGATAAAATATTTACTTGTAATTTTTTTGGAATTATGGTTCTTAATCCCCATAATATATACCCTGCCTCCATAGTAGTTCATTTCGGCACTGGAAAAACAGTTTTAGATTTTCTTCTAATACCTTCGGCCTCCCAGTTTCAAGTTATTTCTTCTAATACCTTCGGCCTCCCAGTTGCAAGTTACCGTGAAACCTTTGATAATACCGGGTCATTTCTTGTGTGTGATTTTATATCTAACGCTGAAATGTGAAGCATCCGATACTAATAAATTAATATCTAATTCTTCCAAAGCAGATGGTTTACTGTCAATTGGGAAACGGGAAAGCATATCCACATTGCTATTTTTTTTATCCCTCGTAATTGCAATTCATTATCATAATTTGCTAGCAGTAATGACCATCTTATTAATCTTGATGACATATCTGTTATTCTTTTATGTGGAGTAACGATAAGTGGTTTATGGTCGGTTATTATATTAAATTTTTACCCATTAAATATTGTTTAAATTTAATTAATCAAAATATGATTGCTAAAGCCTCACGTTCTATCTGACTGTAATTTCGTTCGGCGGCATTTAATTTTCGGGAAGCGAATCCAATCGGCTTTTCCTCGTTGTTAATGATATGAGATAGAACTGATCCTCGCGTCAGCAGCTAAAATTATTGGGTATTCCGGATTATAATGTGTTAAAATTGGTGCATCTGATATTAATTTTTTAAATTTATTAATTACTTTTGTTTCATTATCTGTCCATTTCCATGGCACATCCTTAAAAGCTTATATAACGGAGCGGCAATAGTCTATATTTTTTTATAATAAATAATAAAACCGATAAAAGCTTGTAATTCTTTTCGTTTTTAGGTAACGGTGCGTCTAAAATTGAATTGGTATTCTTATTTGTTGTTGTGATTCCCTTTTTGTTAATGGTATGACCTAAGAATTCAATCTTTTCTTTAAAAAAATTACATTTTTTTAGATATAATTTCATACCGTTTATTTCTAACGTCTTTAATACATTTATCAAATTTTTTTTATGAATCTCAATTAATTCCCTAGTAATTATTATATCGTTCAAATATACCGCTACCACATGTAGTCCTTTTAATAACGAATCCATTGCTTGTTGAAAAATGGCTGTCGCTGAGGCTACCCCAAACGGAAGTCGTATGAAGCGATACAATCCACTTGGCCTGTTGGTCACTAACAGCTTTTTTGCCTCCTCGTCTAGTGCTATTTGAAAATCGCTTCTGATAAATCTAATACCGTATATTTTGATCCATTACCTAGTGTGGCTAATAATTCATTAATTCTGGATATAGGATATTTATTAATCAAAATATTTGCATTAACCAGTCTAAAATCACCGCAAATTCGTAAGGATCCATCTTTTTTAGTACAGGCACGATCGGTGAAGCGATATTTGAGTATTTTAGTTTTTCTATAACTCACATCAATTCCACTCGTAATTCCTTTTCTAGTTTTATCTTCCACGCAAATGGTATCTGTCTGATTTTAAGACATTGAAAGTTTGGGGTTGGGTTTTACCGATAAACTCGCTTTAAATTCTTCAGTAAACCTAAAAAAAAATTTCAATATTATCCCCCCAAACCTCATTCATTGTATTACATTGATTTATTATTAGTAACTTTAATTTGTTTATTAAATTTCTACCTATCAAATCATGATATATAATTTTATTCTTACAATTAATGGGTAATATACATTTACCTAGAATATCGATCATTACATTATTATAAGATTTTAAAATAATATCCGTTTTTGTTACTGGTATTTTTAAGATAAACGTCTATATTCAAAATGGAGACTGCCGATCCTGTGTCAATTAAAAAATTAATATATATTTTATCTATCAATAATTCCTCAAATTTTTTCCGCGACTCCTCTAGAGAATCCCAATCCTCAAAACTTTCTCGCTCTTTTCTGGGACATCTATCGTTCGAATATATTCTTTCTTTCCACGATTCCTTCGGTATACTTTTTTAAATGTTCTTTTATTCCACAGTTATGACAAATTGCATTTACATTTGGGCACTTTGGTTTTATATGGTTTTCTAATCCACAACCATAACAAATAATTTTTGATACTGGTTTATATTTGTCATACTGCTCTTGTCACTGTTTTTGCACTTTTATTTATCTCCTTTCCTGCAGATAATTTTTCATACGAAATTATTTCCGTTATCTCCATTAAGGTAGTGATTTGTACAGTCTTTTCCCATGTTAAGTCTGGCATGTTGATTAATTTCATTAATATTTTTTAGTAATTCCCGACACTAAATTATCCCGCAATACTGTATTATACATCTCTTTAAACTCACACGTATTTGCTTTTATCTTTAATTTATTTATATATTTTGTAATCGTTTCTCCTTTTGTTCCGTTTTAAAAAAATAATATCTCTCTAGCATAAAATTTATTTTCTTCGAGTAATGATATTTCATCTAATGTCTTTGGCAAACACAAAGTAATAGTCCAATATTTGTTAATAAAATGATTTTTTGTCTTCTATTTTGGCGATTTTAAAAATGAATTCCATTTTTGATAAATAAACTTCCATCTCGCACTCCTTTATATTAAATTTCTCCATTTAAAACAGTGCCATAGACATATTTCACTATTATTAACAATTTATTATATTTTTAACTGATTTAATATATTTTGTACTTCAGTTTATATATCTTTTACAAATCAATCTACATACATCAATTAATTATCATATACAATTAACAATATATTTCAATACAAATAATCATTATTAATTGCCTTTGAGGTTAATTGATTCTATTACATAAGCTTTATAGGACTATTTAAAAAACTAAAGGCACAAAACGTAAATTATCTTTTGCTTATTTTAATAAATTCAAAATACCCATTTAAAAAAAATATCATTACAAACATATAGGATCAATATTTTTATAAATATTACATTTTTTTAAAAAACTTGAATCGCGAGATTTTTTAAAAGTTACTTATAATTTAATGAACTGAGATAGTAATGTATTTATAAAATACTTAGTAACCTTTTCTAAACTTCTTAGATGTTATAAGAATGTCAAGAATTTATTTAAAAATACGACGACTTTTTTGATATCTTAGACGATGATATGAACGTATTCGCCTTTTTACTCACGACCCGGGTAGGCGGAGTCGGCCTAAATCTAACTTCAGCCAACAAAGTGGTTATATTCGACCCAGACTGGAATCCCTGCGTGGACGGACAGGCTAAGGAAAGGTCATGGCGAATCGGTCAGACTCAGGACGTTTCCATATACAGACTTTTGCTTGCAGGTTTTTTTCTGCCCCAACAAAAACAATATAGTTTTTCATATTTCTTACTTTATATTTTGTCAAAATATTATATTCATGACTTTTATAGCTATAAATTTGAATTTTTTTTAAAAAAACTTTTTATTATTTTATTTTTTAATAATAATAATTTTTTAGAACATGAAAGTTATTTAAAAAGAACAAATATAATAACTTTAAAAAAACATATAAAAAATTAAAAAGGACAATGCTAATTTAAACATTAAATAATTGAACCGAATTATTGTGATAGCAATGTTTTGTTTAAGTTTATAAAAAGAGGAGATGTACGTTTTTTTTATAAAAAGGGGAGATGTATGTTTTTTTTACCCTGTAGATGTTGTTCTATAAGAAGGTATTTCTATATGAGAATATCAGTAGTCGGTTCCACTAAGGGAAATAAATTAAATTTTTTTTTTCCAAATACACTTATGGATAAACCTTATGATTTATTGATAGGGACCGTCGAGGAAAAGATATATCACAGGCAGATATTCAAGCAATACCTGACAAACAAGGTGCTCAATAATCCTAAGGTTAATAATCGGATAGTGTTCAAGATGAATGACCTGAAGCAACTTTTTACCCTGACGGAGGCGAAAAATGACTCCTCTAACGATCTCAATGAAAGTAATAAATCTAACTACAATCTACAGGGTGGATCCTTTTTTTTGAATAGGAAAAAATTGAGGGCGGCAAACATGAATATCACCATACAAAATAAGGACGATGATAGAACCAAAAATATGGAAACTTCGACTGTTGAAAATGGTGAATCGATTAACTTTCAAAATAATCGAGCAAAGGATATCTCTGAACCGCCACCACCCGATGACAACGAGAACGCTCGTTTTAGGAAAAAAAGACGCTTTTACGCCAAAGTGGACGGGCAAGAAGTTGAGTTCCTGACCAAACGGGAACCTTATAGATATGACTCTGGTGACGAGGCAACTAAAAGTAAAATTTAAAAAGAAATAATGATTATTCGAATCGAATGATAGTTGATTCTGGTTTAATCAACCCTTTTTGAATAATGTGAAAAAATAGCTTTAATCTTTTTTTTAAACCGGTATACCATCTCAACTCTTATAAACCTGGTAGAGATGGGCATACCTAGAAAATATAATAAAATCTAAAATGCAATTATTTACAAAATTAATTTTGTAATTAATTATAATTGCATTCCTTTTTTAAAAACGATATTTAAATACTTATTACATATAATCGTTACAATTGTGTAATTTTAATTACAATTTCATTTTATTTTAAAAAAAATTAGAGTAGTAGGTTGATAAAAAATCATGAGAAACTTTATTAATGGCATATAATATAATAAATAGCTATAATTCATATTTTTGTGTTGAAAAATATAAAGGTTTCATTTACTCGTTACATTAAATATATTTCAATATGATAAGACATTTGCATATAAATTATTATATATACATTATATTTACACGTTTGGCATTAACAATTAATTTTCCAAACAGGTTGTTTATATAAGCGTGTTCATTTGTACTTATTTAAGCAATGTTGCAAAGCTGAATAGTCTTTCTAGTTGACGAAAACAACAATGTGTTATATTATACTTCAAAAACACGTTGAAAAACTTTAACTATCATATTAATTCGATCTTTTACATCTTTTAGATAATTATCATCGATTATATTTTGGGTAGAAGTAAAACAATTTGAAAAATTTATCATGATGGGTTTGGACAATTTTGAGCGTTTACTTTTATAATTAAAAGGGTTTATTGAAACAACTTCAGACGTTATTAATGATAATGATTTAGCGCATTTAAGCTTAAAATATAGGAAAGGAATAGTAGCTAAAAGGGCTGAGTTAGATTTGCACTCAAACTCTACTATTGAATCCGATAATTATAGCCTTTAAGAGTCGAAAAAAGATACAATGAAGAGTTTTGTGGTTCTAACAAAATTCTCTTATCTCCAACAACATTCAGAAGCTTTAGACTTTAATAAGAAAATTGACAATCAACTCATTAGCCGCCTGATGACTTTATAGGATTTTTGGATGTCTTTGATTTAAAAAATAATGGTAGTTTTTTTTAAAGTTGATGTAATAATTGATTCATATTAATGGTTAAATAAAGATTGATGAATAAAATGTATTGATTTAAAAAATATATAAAGTTAGATATTTTTTTAGGGTTCCGGAACGTTTCAAAATCCGGAACGGAATACTTTTTTTTAGGCGGAACAGGAACGTTGTGGTTAAAACTAGAGGTCTGCATTGGGCGGGTTTTTGGACCATAATCCCACCCATCCAATGTTTAAAAAAATTTAACCCGCCCGCCCATTAGTCTAAAATTTCTTAACCGCCCGCCCACCCATTAGTCAAAATTTTTTACTCGCCCACCCATTATTATTTTAAAAATTTTAACCCAAGCACGCTATTATAACATTTAATTATGGCCATTCTTTCAATTTTTTTATCTACAAAAAGTTATGATTTAGGAAATTACTATATATATTAAGCATAAAAAAATATTCAAACTAAATTATGGATAATTTATTTGATCAAATTAAATATTTATAAAAAAATATACAAATATAAAATTGATATTATATGTAACTCTAATGCGAAAATAATAATGAATCGACTTCTGGATTCAAACACGTTCTTCTTTGTTCTAAAAACCTTCCAGCAATCCTCGTTCGCAGGAATTGCCAATATTTTTCTTGCTAATCTTGATATATCTCTTGTCGTTTCTACCAAAGTAGTTTTAAATATACAAAAAATTAATTTATTTTAAGAAAAAAGTTTTTATGATGCCAAAAAAGGTTAATATCCAAAAAAGTTTGAACAATTTTTTATTAATATTTACTTAAATGATTTTAATTTTTTTAACCCGCCCGCCCATGTTTAGATTTCTTAACCCACCCATTTTAAAAATTTTTTAAACCGTCCGCCCGCCTAACCATTCTTAAAAATTTTTTTTGCCCACCCGCCCGCCCACTTAGATGGGTGAGCATGCCGAATCCTCGCCCAATGCAGACCTCTAGTTTAAACTATTGGAATACTGCGAGATTAATTTAGCAAACATAGATTTCAAATGTGTAAAATTTTTAATCTTAGGTCAACATTCATCGTAATAAGAAATTTAGAGTTAGTTAATAATGGTTCCCTTTTTTACAAAAAATACAAACTTTTTAACTATATTTTGATTTATATCCTGTCCGTTTCTTCACACATTTTTTCTTCTTCTTACAAACTCAGAGAAGAGTCAACGAAAGATCCTGAAAGAAGAGGACGATTACGTTTTAAACGAAATTCTTCGAAATTCATTCGTCACCGGGAACATTTCGCACGATTCCTTATTGCGTTCCTCTACCAATGACAATAAAATTTTGGGTCCATTGGTGGTTGAGGAAGTTTCCGATACCCTAACTAGGAACGCGGTCCAAAAAATACGCGAATCTAGGGTGACATATCACGCAACTTCCAAATACGGCCAAGCGTTTTACAGGCAAAAGGCTGAGGGTATCAGAGGTATTTCATTTGGTTTAATTATTAAAAATTTCTTTATTTTTTGTAAAAAAATTTATATAAAGTTTTGATTATCAGGGCATCGAATATATACGATAAATTTAATCAGGACTAATTTTAGATAATACCAGAGTTGTTAAAGTATATCTGTTTCTAGATACACTTCAATAAAGGTATCTGTATCAGAGGTATCGATATCTATTTTAGATACATTTTAAGATAATTTTGATAAACTTTTATTTAACGCTTTTTTATATCAAAAATAAAAATATTTGAATGCAAAATTAATTATATAATATTTAAATATATAAAATATTATAACTTATATATTAAAAATTTTTTCTTTATAGAAATCAGATCAACATTGTAAAAAATATTTTTCTCAGGGTTGTGCATTTGACCGGTCAAATATGATTCGGTTAATTAACCGATCAAATTCAAATGTTTTTTAAGACAATATTAACCTTATTTTATATATAATAGTAAAAAATGAGTATATGTAATATTAAATTATATTTTTTAAAATTCTATAATTAATGTTTCTCTCTCCATGGCAGATTCGTGTTCTGATTCATATTCAATATCTTCCTTAATATTTTTAATCAATCTTAGGTTATGATATACTCTTACCATTTTTTGTTTGTCGAGATCTTCAATCGATTTCTTTTCTTCGTATTAATATCACCCCAATTTCTTTCTGGTAAAGAAGTATAACTAGGAATTGTTAGAAATTAGACACTTCTCTTAATGTTTAAGGTTTGAAAAATCCACTTCAACAACTTGCGGCCGAAATCCGATTGTTTTCCACATATTTTGGCTATTAAAAATGACTTGAAATATTTTGATTATCATCACCTTGTAAAATTTCTAATTCTTGTATTTTATTTTAAAGTTAATTTTATGTATTTATAAATTTTTTAAAATATTTTATTTAAATCGCATATAAATATAAATTGTAAGATAATTTACTATTGCTTAAAAATTATTTTATAAATGAAAAAATAAAGTAACAAAAAAATCTCTGCAAGATGGAGCATTTTAAAAAATTTAATTTGTATAGTTTTTATATAACAAAAAATATGAATATAAATTTTTTGTATAACAAAAAAATATGAATATATATTTTATAATATAAAATGATATAAATTTAAAATTCATGTAAAAGGTTTTTATTTTTTTGGAAAATAAATTACAAAATGAAAGAAAAATTAAAAATAACCGCATATAATTCATGAAAACAGAAAAGTTTATAAAACCGGAAAATATGTTTTATACAATGAAAAAAAAGTAATTGGCCTAAGAATAATATTTTTAACTAATTTATGTCTAATATTTATTTTTAAATTTAAGCTATCTCACAAAATGATGAAATAAAATGTTTATATATCCACGAACTATGAGTATAATTAATATTTGGAATGACTAAGGGATACTAATTCCTGATCTGGCATATTCTGTGCCAAATCTTGAAAATTGACATGCCAATTATATTAGAAAATACAATTCTTTAACATAAGCGCAGCCTTTTTATGTGTTATTGAATTTTTTAATTCAAGTGTTAGAGAATAAGAATATGTTATTTAACATATTCTTGTGACACTAGTGAGAGGTATATATATGCCCCCCCCCATTAATTAAATAATTTTAAATATCATTAGATCTTTTGCTTTAATTCATTTAAATTAGTAATTAAAGAAATTTTTTTATATATACATACAATTAATTGTTACCTTAATATATAGTATTGCATTTTAAATTAATAAAGGTATTGGATTAAAAGAAACTTATTTCTTCCATTGAAATTGCCACATATATAGGCCATTTAGATTGTTAATGGAAGAAATTAAAAATCTTGTAAAAACACATTTATTTAATTATAAATTAAAATTACCAGGAGTATGCTAATGGAAAAAATCCCATATGCGTCTTATTACAAATGGCCGCCAAATGAATTAAGTTTTTTTAAAATACAATTGGACGATTAATATTAGTCTATGATTATATCACATGCTTCTTCAAACTCACTGCTAGTAAGATATCTCCTTATATTAAGGATCCAATAAACGCAATGTGAGCACATGTATTTCATTGTTTATCTTTAAAAGTATCTTTCGGGTGGAGAAAATACAAAATCATGGCATGATTGAATTATGTGTTTTCCAAATTAAGCATCTCGTTTTTTACTTGAGCCAAAGTGCATTTATCCCTTTGTACTTACAACAGTAAGATTGTTAAAGAATAGTTTAATTAAATTTTTCGTCCAAAATATTTCTTCATTTAATATAATATTGATAATTATTTCGGACATATATCCAACTTCTTTAGCAGCTGCTTTCAGAGCTCTCTGGCATATTTGTATTTACTCCTTGCATTTTATTGATGATGCTCATCTTGTTTGGATAATTGTACATATTGTAATATAAATTAGTAGTAATTTTCTCAAACCATGCTTTAGCAAAATTATTATATTTATTTACATATTGAGATCCAACCAAATTAATAATGAAAAAAATTCTTTTATTTTTATATTTTAAAATGAAATTCTAATATTTTAATATGAAAATATAAAATTATAAAAATCGATGCCTTATGATGTAAATATATTTTAAAATAAATTGCAACCTAATTAGATTGATAAACATGCTTTAAATACATAGTAGTTAATTAAATCAATATATTTATTCACCAATAACATTTTTGAGTATTTGACCATATGACAGGGGTATTGATATTTTTTTAATTAATTTTTTATATGTTCAAATTGAATTAGAACAAAATATAAAAATGTATTACGTATTTTGTGATCTCATAATAAAAGTGTCTTTTCGAAAACAGTTGCAAATCCTGTATATAAGTATAGTAAAATTGGTACCTTAATCTAGATCCATTTTAAGGCGATGTATCTAGATCCATTTGAAAAGTTTCTTTTAGCAACTTTGGTATTACCAATTTTACTTATATAAATCAAATAAAAATTTAATTATATAATTAAGTCTGTACCGATATTAAATATCGGTATCGGATCGGCGCCGTTATTAGACTTTAGAAAAAACATTGGACAGGCCGTTAATTTTTAAAATTATAACCGATACCGATTTTACATATATTTTTATTATTTATTATACACATATTTTATTTGAACTAATATTCCTTTCAATCTTCATAACTCCCATAAAAAGTGTCTTATAAAATAAAAATGTTTAGGCCGTGTCCTAAGTCGGCTTAATATTTAATAGCTGGCTATTTAGCCGAATTTTAAGTATCGGCTAAATAACCAAAAGGCAAGAGAAAAAATTTAAAAAAAATAAATAAAAGAAAGAAAGAAAAAAACACGACCAAAAAACGAGAATAAAATACGAAGAATAGTAATGCCACCAAATAATTAAAATAAACCAAAATAGGGTGTCCTCGATCAAATACCTTTTAGCCTATACTAAAAGGATACTAAAAAGCAATTAAGTATTCAATTTAAGCCCACCTAAGACACGTCCTAAATATTTTTTAACGATAGATTTTGTCCTCAAAAATGCCCTTTTAATTCCTCAAATTCAATATTGTTTATAAACCTCGGGTGCTTTTGCGGTTGAAACTCTTTTAAAAGAATACGAACAAAACATTAAGAATGTTGTAAGAGTTTATAATTCGATTCTAACTCCTGGCTTCAGGCCACTCTTCCTTGAAAATCGGGAGGCTTATGACTTATATCTGCTATAACGATTGCCTTAGTTTCTTTCATTTCTTCTACAAAATCGTGAAACATAACATTTCGCAAATCAATTTAACTGATAATGATAGTTTTATGGACGAAGCCTTGGTTACATTGGTAAAAATAAAACTAGTTACAATTATATTTCAAAGTAACTAGTTACATTAGGAGTTACTTTATACATCATTCATTTATCGCATTATTTATTTACTGAACGCATTTATTTAATATTAAAAAAAATTAGGATATACTAATTATAATCAATTATATAAAAAAAATATACAATTTATTTATATAAAAAAATAATTAAATCGAAAAAAAATATCGGAAATAAAGCCCTATCATGCTTTTCGGCGAAGGCCCTGGTGGTGAAACAGATTTTGTAATTATACATCCTATTGCTGCTTTAGTTAGTGATGAAGAAGATTTCGATGAAAACGATCCCAGCACACCTAATCACCCACTAGATACTCCAGTGGAGATCGAAATCCAAAATCCAGCAGACATTGATATTGTCTCAGAATCGTCAATATCTATAAATCAAGAAAGCAAATTAAATTTTCGAAATAATTTCGAATGGAGAGAAATTGATCCAATTTACACATCTAGATCTATTGATAATAATAAGGAATTATTATCGATTATTCAATTTTATTTGATCAGAAAAACTCCAATAGAAATATTTGAATTATTTTTTGATCAAGAAATTTATTCACTGCTTGTGGGTCAATCACATATTTATTCCAAACAAAATAATAGATCAAATTTTATTACAAACATGTCAGAGATGAAAAGATTCTGGCTGGATATCATTCCCCGCAAGAAAGAATGTATTGGTCGAATACAATGATATTACTATACCAATCGTCAGGAATTCAATGACACAAGATACATTTCGCGATACCAAAAGGAATCTACATTTATCTAATAACTCAACTCTTGATGAAGAGGATAATCTTTATAAAGTCCGTCCATATTTAAATTTACTTAATAAAAAGTTTCAACAATTTGGTATATTTTTACAATGTTTATGCATAGATGAGTAAATGATACCGTTTCGGGTAAAACATTCCTGTAAAATGAAGATAAATCCATTCGATTTGAATATATATTATTTTATTTTTTTGTGAGAAAATTTCAAAATAAAAGAATAAAAATTGTTTGCGTAATTATTTGTGTTTAGTTTATTGTTCCCATCAAGTTCTCATATCAGTAGTTACAGTAATTTTACTGTTTCCTCAAATTCCCATAGCATCAGTTGCAACAATTGAATAAATGATACCTTATTGGGGAAAAC